AAGGCTAGTGGATAAAGATACCATCATAAAGACTCGTTTGGCATGTACACAACAAATACTGTCCACAGCTCGATCCCGTGTGGTGGCAAAATCCTTGCATTTTAGGTTGCAGTTTCCAAATTTCCCTCAAATAGCGCCAGAGTCAAAAATAGGTGTCATATTCATTCACCAGGACCGAGTACTTTTCGCTAGCTGTTCCATAGATCACTTCAACGCTATAAACCACCCATTCCAAATTTTTAAAATCCTTTTTTTGGCTTTCATAGGGCCACTCAGCGAAAATGAATCTATTTTGTAGTCCGCGTGAGAGCCCCTACAGCATGCAAGTGATGTTTTAGGAAGCTCTCCTCACACTGAAAGACTTCCTGCACTGGTGCACCAGCCATTTGCCTGTCGATCGCCTGTGGTATGAAATCAGTGCTTACCCTGATCCTATCAGCCTCTATTTGAACGGTAACCTCGGGCACTTCCGAAATCAGAGAGTGGAAAGAGGATCCCGTTCCCTCAGGGTTTTCACCGTGTCGTCTTATGTTTTCTCACAAATGTACCATACCGGACCACCACTTTCTCATTTCAACGATTTCAGCTTATTGCGAGGGGTGGCTTTCAAGTGCCGGTAAGTGGCTGCACCATTCGTGACGTTACGACTTCAAGGGAGTTACATAGTTGATGCGTAAGGTGATGCATGCGCTGCACTACAGCAACCTTATTTTCAATTTGGAGCATTGTTTAGTCAAAAATAGCTACATAAGATCATGTCAGCCCGATGATATATTTGTAGCAGTCAAAAACGAGACAGAAATTCATTTAGAAGAGTTGGTCAGAATCCACCATACCTCTCGTTGCTTAAACGGATTTAGAGCCTGTAAAACGCCCTGAAAACGTAGAGATAGATGTACTACGGAGAAACACGGTCCTCTACGAAATAGGACCATCAAGAAACATGCATCACATAGAAAGATACAAACCTTAATGCAATACATTATGATAACAAGCTTGTTACTCTTACCGATTTTTGTTTCGGTTTCTTTCGTCGTAACGATCGACTACGGACGGCAGTTAATAAGCGACCAACGGCTCCCTCGACAGTCTTTACGCTTTCCACACGAGATACTGCTATCAACGGCACCTTCATGTCCTCAGACGTCTCCACCATTGTTGTTGGCGCACAAGAAGATGTGCTTTGAATCTGAAAATCGTGCCAATTTGCTCGCTCACAAAATGATGCTTCTTTTCACTTGATACAACTGATAGGTCATTCCCGCAATCATAAAAAAAAAAACTGCTGCGCCTAAATACCGATAATTAGCCTGTTCGTGAAGGGGAGATAGGGAAGTGAGGTGCTTAACAGGGTCAAGACTGCGTTGATGAATCCTCGACGAGGAAGGTCGTATTAGGTCCAGCGGGAGTAAGGAGGGTCGCAAGCACCGGATCGGCGATGACTAAGCAGCGGCGGCCTGTCGGGAGTGGAAGCGACCCTGAGACTCGTGCGGTTGTCAGCTGAATGTCGAGTGCATGGCGCGTCCCTGAGCTGAGCGAGGTCTCTGGGAACGATTGTTCAGTATAACACATAAAATCACTATCTAAAAAGAACTGTCCACAGTTGACTTCATAAGCATTCACGAAGTTGTCTATGGAAGGAGCTATGATCGTTGAAGGAGTAGCGACGCACGAAGGGAATTCTTTCGGTGGTACTCGAAAAAAAAAACTGTCAACGGGGCCAATTTTGACGTATTCAAGATGAAACCTTACAGTAGACTTTTACGTTTCATCCGTAAGAAGACGACCCCAACTTCGCTTGTGATTTCCAACCGCCGTCACGGTCGCACCAGCAAACAGTACTGCATGGCGTTCACAATGACTACGTAAGCTATTGTAGGAATCCGTCTAGCTCCAGAATGCATCTACTTGCAAACGAGGGTCATGGTTCGCGGGCTTTGATCAGATTTAACTTGGCTTATTCTCTGATCCCAAGAAACGCACTCGGTTCACTGATGTTAAAAGGGTAAAGCTCACGGCGTACGACATCGCGTACGTTTGTGTGAAGCGTAGGTGCAGTGTCATTCAAGCCACACGCCACGTTTCATGCTCCAGCCTCAATGCGCGAGCATGACTTGACTACACCTGTTTGTCATTTTGAATGTTCCCAGGGTAGCAACCACCTCAGAAATAATAGGAAATAACTCGCGAGCCATGCGACGTGTGAGACGTAGCGCAAGGACATTTCGTAACACACCATTAAATCCATAGACATCTGGGGCAGAGTGCAGCAAAGGGCCTGGCTCGGGGATGGGTCCCCAAAGCGCTGCGTCTCAACTCTGGTCAATGACGCAACTTTCACGGTCAAGAATAAGAGTAGCGTCCAGATATGCAGAGCTTTGGGGAATCCATGCCCGAGTTGGGGCTTGCTGCACCCGGCCCCTGATGGACAGTGTGTTCCCTATTTGCACTTTTGGTTAACGCTTGTCTCAATACTATTTGCGCTCCGAAGAAACTTATATTCTGCTTCATGACGATGATTCACCGCAATGTGAGCTATTACTTTAGACTGGTTTTAAAAGCGGTATTCTTTCGCAAGCACACAGGTGTGAAAAGCTCGCGTCCAACATACACTTACCGGCTCTTGAAGTTGGATTTCGTGACGCTGATCTTGTAGATGCTCGTCCTGAGGTTTTTGGGGCTGCTCCTCTAGTTGTGGTGGTGTTTGCGACTGCTGGTCACTTTGGTGGCCGTCGTCATGATTTTCTTGCTGATTCGCGCTTTGGTCATTCACCTCGTTCACCTCTGCCTCCTGTTCAGTTGCGATCTCGTCTTCTGGTTTTGTCTCCTCTTGGATCACCGGCTGTGGCGTTACCGCCACTTTCTGCGGCGTATCCTTCTGTGACTCCGCAATTTCTGGACTTTCTGCAGGCCTCCTTACAGATCGAAGTCGTCTGAGATCGTCGTGACCGACCAGTGAGGAAATGCTGTCAGCATCGATGTATGGAAAGGTGAAGTCTGCCCTGGAATGAAGAATTTTTTCATATTATTCAGTTTTTTGGGATTACTGCAAATCTGACCCAGGGACAAATCGCGCCGCAGCTGCCGTTGAATCGGCCGTTGATCGATACACTCGGCTGTTGTGATTTTGCGTATGCTCTGTTTAGGGGGGTCGTGCCAAGACCTCGATTTCAGGGGGGGGGGGTCGTACTTCTGCGACCACGTCCTCGACACGATTTTCACCCTGCTCTCGACCCTATTCTTACACAGTACTGGGCCGTGGTCAGGGGTTTCCTCGGATGTTATTCAACCTGCAGGGTGCCACGCTGCGCAGATCGTCCCAACGCCAATAACAGTGGAAGTACACAAAAGTATGCTGGCATGGCTCAGCGCCCATGTCGGGCGTTTTAAAACTGTGAGCGCGGGACATTTGCTACTTTGGTAGGAAACTGAATCCTAGCCACGAAAGGGACTGATCCACCTGAATTCACCGCGAGAGGCGTTTCTAAAGGCGGAGTTTGCGATGAAAAAACGGCTCATTAAAAACCAAGGTAAAGGTAGTCAGTGGTGGAGG